GGCTTTGCCCCGTTTAACTTCTTAATTTTCAAAATTATCTCGTTCGCATGGCTCAATCACGTCCTGGTTGAAGTTTGTTCGCTACGCTCACTCACCTTTAGGTTGGAGCTCGTTCGCTACGCTCACTCACCTTTAGGTTGGAGCTCGTTCGCTGCGCTCACTTGCCTTCAGGTTAGCTCGTTCGCTACGCTAACTCGCCTCCAGGTTGAAGTTCGTTCGCTACGCTCACTTACCTTTTGGTTGCAAATTAGCTGTTGTCATAAATGTAAAAGAAATAATAGTGCTGCACCCTGTTGGTAATCCTTGTAACTTTAATGCTATTGAACATCATAGAACAGAACCAACTTGTTTAATTGAAACAGCTGTTAAGATTCAATAATTCCATTACTCATAAGGTTAACATGGAAAACTCCAGAGCCATTAGGGCGGAGCCCGAAAGGATTTTTGAAATAAGAATATGCCTATATGTTAATCGGGAATGTGAGCTATCATCATGCCAAATTTCAGCCCAATCCGACCAGTATTTTTCGAGTTTACTTTTTCCATACACACATACACACATACAGCAACCACCTCTTTTTTATAATAGTATAGAAGATAGATATTTGTCTGTTTTGTGCATGGTGTGATTTAAGTTAAGTCAACCCAGTTTACTAACTGGGACTGTTAGCCTTACTTATTGTTATCAGATGATTATTATAAATTACTTGTCTCATTTCATGTAACTGCATGTTTAAAAGATCAAATAAATTCTCATTCTCATTCTTATATGTGCCTCACAAAGCTTGGATTGATCAAGACAAGTTACAGCTTTTATAACGAACTGTAGTTATGATGGAATGCCTGAATCTTCGGGCTTGAAATTGCTTTTATAAAAGATACGATTATTTCGTCATAAGTCATAAGTTCTTTATTCCAGAATTACAAAATTACATTGCATTGGAATAGTCAAGAAATGTACAAAAGATAAAATATTAAAAAAAAACCTCTACAAACTAAACAATTTGACCTTCTAGTAAATCTAATAGGACATAAATCACTGACTACATGACAGTGGAAAAATCGCGGACTCTGTAGCAAGTATTTTCAACCAAAATTTGTTTAAGTTTTCTCCTAAACCTGAGCAAATCAGTCGCCAGCTTTTGATGTTGAGGAAGTTGGTTAAAAAGTTTAATTCCATTGTACAGAAGATGATGTTGGAAAAATTAAAATTAATGGACGGGAATGTTTAAGTTGTATGATGTGCGTAAGTTATATGTACTGGAGTTAATGTTGGTGGTAAATAATGACTGATGTTTTTTTTAGAAATGAAAGGGTCTCAAGGATAGTGAGGGAAGAGTCAAAAATTCCAGCTGACCTGAATGATTTCTTACAAGATCGTCTTCTGAAAAGAGAAAATATAACACGAATAACCTTTTTTGTATTTTAAAAAGAAAGGAGGTATAATTATTATCATATCCCCAAACAGGCAGAGCATAAACTAGATAACTAACTGGAACTAGATAACTAGAAGAACTTCTGACGAGACTGTTGTGGCCAATGTTCGTAGTACAAAAATGCCTATACTTACACGTTTTATCACGTAATCAACATGAGGTTTGAAGTTTAAACATTCGTCTAAGTGGATGCCTAAGAATTTAACAGACTGTACAGGATGAATGAAGGCTTGATAAAAAAAGTGACAGATTCGGATCTTTGTGGGATCTGTTTGAGATTCGAAAGTTAATCAGCTGGGTCTTTGCAGTGTTGGTTTTCAGAAGGTTGTTATCAAACCACTTAAGCAAGGTTTTTGCCTCTATGAATACCATTTGCTCGAGTGACTCTAGGGAGGGGCTGGATAAGGCTAGGGAAGTATCATCTTCAAAAGGCACAGTTTACCTTTTTCGTGATTTATCAAAATAAGCTTTTTTATGTACTTAAATCTAACACAATTTCTCTTCGTCCTAAACACATGCATTAACCGAACCGTAATACAGTCTTCTTTTTTTTGTTGGTTTATTTTGTTCTAATTTACCGTTACTCCAATATTATCGTTATTGAAAATACATTTCTCTGGGCCACCAAGCTCAGATAACAAGAGTTATGTTATCTCAGATTAAATATGTTTGGATTCAGATTTTTTATGTGATTTTATTTAAAGGTATAATTTATGTATAAGTCACTTAATACTAAAAAGTCAAACCTGCAGCATTTCTTCGGCCTTTGGCACCCTCTTCACTCTGTGGCTGCTAAAGCTGGGGCGAGGGCTGGTCAAGCAGGTACTTGCTCTTAACACTGGACACGGCCATTTCAGGAAACATCTCCACACTCTAGGAATTGTCAATGACAAGTAGGAGTGTCGACTTTGTAACCAGTCTGACGAGACTGCAAAACCATAATGTGGTTAAAAAGTACGGTGTGTCATACAAAAGGTATGTAAACATTGGCGATAGAAGAGTCAAGACTGATAAACTGGTAACAGGCGTATATTTGCTTAGAGAGATAGTAAAAATTCGATATATTTTAAAATAGAACACAACACGATTTCTTTACTTATGACAACCAATGTCATATTGATTTGATATTAGATTTTTAAAGTGTCTTAAAAGTTATGAAAATAATATTATTGATATATTTTCATGAAAACATAAAGAAAACTACAATGTATGGATGTTTTGTATGAATTTGTAGGATACTTTAAATAAATTCGAACTGCTTAACATGTGTTGGATTAATTTAACATAACTTGCACATCACATTGTTTTTTATATGTATATTTAGGTAAATTTAGTTATTGTGTTTGCTAAACCTATGCTTAAATTAAACTAAAGAATATCATCGATCACTAAATTGTACATCGTAACTATGGTAATACAAAATACTCTTATTTTATCTTAACATAGCTTTCAGTTCACATTTACTTTATTTGATAAATGTATTATTTGTGTTTTGCCACACCACTGATTAAGTTAAACCAATTAGGGAAATATTATTTAAACTAATCAGTACGTATTTATATATCGATGAGCAGTACACAGTGTTCTTTTGTTTCTAAAATCTGTTACTATGTTTACTTAATGGTAAGTGCTAAAATGTAGGCTAAAGGCAATGGACGATGGAACAGATTAAAAGAACTGGTTCGTATATTAAGTTGTTTGTTGATATTTTTGCAGAGTAGAATAAGAGATGCAATGAAACATATAACTAACTGTATTTGGTATTACATTTTTTAGTCCTTGATGCTTTGTTAATCGTATTAGTTTTGTCTGCTGTCTTTAATGCTTAACTATTTCTTTAAAATGTGTTATTGTATAGATATAGTTTCTTTAACATTTCAAAAGACTACTGAAAAGGCACAACAGTATTTCTAATGTTTATAACATATTGTGAGTGAAGAAACTGAAGATAGGAGGATTTGTGATATAATATGAAGCAGGGTGAATGTTATATATTCCAAATATCTATCTTTTATTTAATATTGATCATATGACTGGAATAATTTCATATTGTAAATAATTCAATGTTTACATTTATTATTAAGAAATAAACATGTATCAAGAGTTGTGTTCATATATTTTGTATTATTTTTATATCTAATAATTTGGCGACGAGGAAGAAAATGACGGAAATACAAGACCTTATATCTACTTTGAACAGTTTTATGACATTAATGACACAACATACAAGTCAACAGACAGAACAACCTAGATCAAAACATAGTACCAAGGAACTACTACAGAGCAATGCCTTGATGTTTGATGCTTATGATGAAAGTAAGGAAACGTTTGAAAGCTACACTCAGCGTTTAGAAATATTTTTTAAAATAAAAGGATTGACAGACAATGATTCAGAGACTGAACAATTGAAAGGTTTATTTTTAATCAATTGCTTAGGTGCTAAGCACTACAATCTGATATGTAGTCTAACATCTCCAGACAAACCAGACTCAAAAACATATAAAGAATTACTGATATTACTAAATGAGCACCTAAGCCCAAAGAAGAACATACTTACAGAACAGCACAAATTCTTATCCCGTTTACAAGATGGAAATGAATCAATCACAAATTATGTCACAGCCCTCAAACAACTGGCTTGTTCAGCAGATTTCAAATCTGGGTGTAAAGAAGGAAAATGTACAAAATCAGTTATAAACCTCATGCTCAGGGCTCAATTCATCAGAGGCTTATATGACTCGGACATCAGAGAAAAACTCTTACAACTGGGGGAAATATCATTTGACAAAGCCTTAGAAATCGCCTTGGCTATAGAGGCATCAAAACTTGACAACCAGATTTTATATACTAGTAATAACCAGAATGACATTCACAAAATAAGTAAAACAACAAAGAACAATATCGGCCCTAAGAATAAATGTTTCTCAACCAAAAACCATTTCTCTAATGACTAAAGCAAAAAGAAAGACAGGAAAAACAAAAAGGCTACAAAGACTGGGACTTTTAGATGTCTGTTTGCACTGTGGAAGGAATAACCACGAAACACAAAATTGCCGATTAATAGATGAACTAAATTGCAGGTATTGTCATAAAGATGGACACATAGAAAAGGTTTGCATAGCGAAACGAATACAGGAATTACAGTCTTCAGAGAAAAATGTAAAAAGAGTTGAAGAAATTGATTCTGAATATGAATACGACGTTCAACGGATCATAAATGTATTGAAGAATGACGAAGGAGATGACAGAATGATGATTAACGTATCTCTAAATGGTAAACAGCAACGTTTTGAGTGTGATTCCGGAAGTCGTGTTAGCATAATAAATAATGATGACTTCAAGAAACTAGACTTACATGTTCCAGTTTGCAAAACAAGTGCTCTTTTTCGATCTTATACTGGACAAATTTTCAAACCAATCGGGGTCTGTACCCTAAGCATATCTTACGAAGGGATATCTTGCAGAGAGGATCTATACATTGTAAATCTACCTAAAAACGCTATTCTTGGAAGGGATTGGATTCTAAAATTGAAAATTAACTTACACAATATTAATCTTGTTAATATGAAGAAACCAGAGGTTGATACCAACACTGTTGTCAAATCTATCAAGCAAAGATTCTCAAGCGTTTTTGAACAATGCATTGGTAAAACACCCAACTTTACATGCTCTATAAAACTAAAGGATAATTCAAGACCTGTGTACTTAAAACCCAGACCAGTACCTCATGCTCTTCGAGAAGCTTTTGAGAATGAACTAGATAAACTTGAAAAAGAAGACGTAATAGAGAAAGTGGATCAATCTGAGTGGGGAACACCGATTGTTGTGATTCCAAAAGCAAATGGAGCGGTCCGTATTTGCGCGGATTACAAGGTAACTGTGAACCAACAACTACATGACAGTCGTTATCCAATACCAAGAATAGAGGATATCCTTAACAAAATGAGAAATGGAAACTATTTTTGCACTTTAGACATTTACAAGGCTTATTTACATCTTTCAGTGGACTCTGAAAGTTCTAAAATCCAGACAATTACCACACATAAGGCTACATATCTAGCAAAAAGACTGTTTTTCGGAATTAAGACTGCCCCAAATGAATTTCATAAATTTATTGACCAAGTCGTACAAAATCTTGAAGGGACAGTGGCTTATTTTGATGATATTGTTGTACAAGGCTGCACTTTTGAAGAATGCAAATCCAGGCTCATAAAGGTCTTAGAAAAATTAGAACAACACAATCTACATGTGAATGTTGGAAAATGCAAGTTTTTTTAGATAAAGGTGCAGTATCTGGGTCATATCATCAGCAAAGACGGTATCCAGAAATCACCAGAAAAGGTGAGGGCAATCCAGGATGCTCCCCGTCCAACAAATATCACAGGAGTGCGTCAATTCCTTGGACTAGTACAGTACTATTCAAAGTTCATCAAAGATGCATCTACACTGCTAAATCCCTTACATCAGCTTCTAAGGAAAGAAAAACGTTTTCACTGGTCCCAGGAATGTGAAAAAGCTTTTACTTGTGTTAAAGAAGAGATAGCAAGTGACACAGTCCTTACTTCATACAACCCAGACTTACCCGTGATACTTGCTACAGATGCTAGCCCTGTTGGCTTATCAGCTGTGCTGTCTCATAAAATGCCAAATAATGAAGAGAGGCCTATTGTGTTTGCCAGCAGATCCCTCACTGCTGCAGAGCGCAACTATAGCCAATTGGACAGAGAAGCAACTGCTGTATATTGGGGGTGTAAAAAAATGTTCGATTATATATACGGAAGGAAGTTTACTCTTGCCATTGACAACAAACCACGGATGACCATATTTCATCCAGACAAGAAACTACCATTGTTTACTTCATCCAGGATGCTTAGATATGCTCATTTTCTTTCAGGATTTGATTATGAGATTGTACACAAAAAATCAAACGACCACTGTAATGCAGATTACCTCTCAAGACATCCCTTACCCATAAAAGAAGAGAATATAAATGTGGTTGACGAAGATTACACTGTTCGAAAAGAGACAATACACTGCATAACAACTGATACTATCATGGCTAAAGACATAGAAAAAGAAACATCACTTGACGAAGAACTCTCTCGCTTAAAGGAAAAGCTCCTAAACGGAGAAGTCGCTGACCCAGAAATATCACTTCAAGACGGAATTATTTTTAGAGGAAATCGTGTTATCATTCCAAAAAAGCTACAACCTAAAATCCTCCAAGAATTACACTCAACACACGTAGGAATAGTGCGGATGAAGAGTCTGGCAAGAAACTACTGTTACTGGAAAAACATTGATACAGATATTGAGAGTATGGTGGCAAGTTGTAAGGCATGTTGTGAGAATAAGAAAAATCCAGAGAAGGCTCCTACCCATGTTTGGGAAATACCAAAACGCAATTGGCAGCGAGTCCACATGGATTACGCAGGACCTTTTCTAAATCACAACTTCTTGATTGTTGTAGATGCCAGGTCAAAGTGGCCAGATATATATCCGATAAAAAGTGCGCCAACAACTGCCAGTACTATTCATTACCTCAGAGAAATATTCAGTCACCATGGCCTACCAGAAATATTGGTCAGTGACAATGCCCCAATTTTTAAATCTGCAGAGTTTCAAGCATTCTGTAAACGCCAAGGAATAAGACAACGATTCATTGCACCAGGAAACCCCTCTACAAATGGTCAAGCGGAAATATTTTGCCAAACACTCAAGACAAAACTGAGGTGCATGCAGTTTGAACAGGGCACTTTACATGAAAAACTATGTGCACTATTATTTCGGTACCGAGCAACACCACTGAGTACTGGTGCATCCCCAGCACAATTAATGTTTGGCAGAAACTTGAGAACCAAGCTAGATCTCTTGAGGCCTGGCGAAGATGACAAAAATGAGGCTCAACAACCAATATTTAACAAACATTACAATATTGGGGAGAGAGTACAATCAAGAAATTACGCAGGATCCATTCTGTGGAAATTTGGAACTGTGGTGGAAAGACTGGGACGACTTCACTATCTCGTAGAAATTGATGATGGGTATGTAATAAAACGCCACTTCAATCAACTTCGAGCTTGTCAAGTGCCAAAAGATTCTACTCATTACAAAAGCCCTCTACCTAGCTTATTGACACAAACAAGGCAAGAAAGTTCAAACAACAGATGCGACCCAAAAGCCAAAGTACCACCAAAGCAAACTAATCGAACTTTAATATTCCAAAATACCAATCAAAATTGTTCAAGACAACCTATATTCATGGGAAATACAAGGTACGGTATGTTAAGGAAATCAATAAGCAATTCAGAAAAGTCACAAGATACAGAAAATGTCTCAAGTAACACCCCAAGCTGGGAAGGAACTATAGACACTGAAACATCGGGTCCTACAGCAAGCACTATGCCTAATATTGAGGAAAAAAGCCCTATACATAACAATGAAGCGTCAAGTACAATCCATCGTACAAGCAGCCGACAAGAGGCCGAAGAGCCAAGTACACAACAAGACGCTGAAGTGTCCAAAGCAAACTCACAACCAGATGTTCCTGTCCCTAAAATTCGCCGCTCATTGAGAATCAGAAAACAAATTAAAAGGATGAACTTGTAAATGAACATTCTCTTAAATAAGTAGGGAGGAATTGTTATATATTCCAAATATCTATCTTTTATTTAATATTGATCATATGACTGGAATAATTTCATATTGTAAATAATTCAATGTTTACATTTATTATTAAGAAATAAACATGTATCAAGAGTTGTGTTCATATATTTAGTATTATTTTTATATCTAATAGTGAAATTAAATAATGTTCATTTAAATTTAATAATTAGTATTTTTGCAACTTCAAAATTGAAATTTAACATGTCAAAAATAAAGAAAAAAGATATGCAACTTAGGAAGATGAAGGTAAATTATGTATGTGAAAGTTTTATTCGGAGATTTGGTCATTTTTTCTTATCAGCCTACACAAGATTAAAAATTAATCAAAACCGAAATTGTGGTATCCTCTTCTTAACAGATATAAAAGTCATAACTTAAAGGTTTCTATTAAGACCATAAAATTGAAATTTTGTTTCTAAAAGCGTTGGTGGATGTGTAACTATTATATGCAACAGATGTAAAAACTAAAATGTTTCTATTTTGTGTCCTCTTCTCGTTGCAAAGCACGGGTACAACGGCTATAATAATTACATGCAGCTAATGTATAAAAATATAGAGGTACAAACCATTATATTAATTAAAATGTAAGAAAACAAAACTAACGATGTTGTACAGAAAACCTAAACAACATAGACATCATTGTACATCACAACACAACATAGACATCATTGTAGGTTACTGTAGAAATACCACTCAATTGTATGTAGTTCAAACTTCAATGTAAACATGGTTAAAGCGTAAAATAAGTTTACTTAATCATTATTAATAACCTTCCTTTGAGATTTTCCAGACAAATTATGGTATCAACCAAGTCCTTTCTAATACTAAATAATAATTGTGTGTTTTATCCGTAATTACGACCATACTATTAAATATTCGATTCGATGAAATAATAATATTTTTCAAATTGGCAATCACGGAATTTAAAATATTTATTTACAGGTAAATTTTCTTAACACATTTTTCTTAAAGCTCTGCATGTAATGATTAACAATTTGCCAAACACGGTTTATTCAAACTTTTATAATGTATTCATAGCTTTAATCAATCATGTGTAAGGATAAATTTATTTGATAATGTAAGAAATGATTTCGTATGTCAACTTTTCGTAAGTATCATCAGTAGCCCTCAAAAAGTGCTAGTATCATGACAAAAACTACTATAATTTCATAAAAAACTATTGTAGGCGTTCCTATGTTGTGTACAAATATACGATATTTTAATTGTAATTTACATCTTGTTTTAAATAAATTTGGTAGCCTAATATGTTTCAAAATCATTGTAATACATTATTAGCTATTTTTTATACAGTATATAAAGATATTTTGACCGATTCTGAGTCATCATTATATAGGATATTTATGGTAATAAGGTAATATTTTTGTTTTTACGTCGTTTACTGACGAAAGCTTTTTTTTGCATTTAGCTTATACTAGCTGTTACCCACGGGCTCCGATCTGTTTGACTTCGTAAGTATGAATAACACTATTGATTGATACAGTTAAGCTGAAATAAACAAAACAGAATACCTAAGCAATCAAATACGAACAAATAATTACACCTGATCTTAATAAGATAATCAATTGACAGAATAGCATACAAATAATTACCGATGAGGTATTTTTAACATTAGTTATATGGACAGTTTACTTAAAAAAGCAATTACGACCTTAACGGGCAATTTATGAAAATAATGGATAGTTTTGTGCAAGTTTTCTCGTCATGACGAAAATTTTTAGAATATAGTTTGTTATGGAGGTGTGACTTGTAGTTTTCTCAAAGGTTCATGGGTACTTTGGGCTTTACATATGGATCACAAAATGTTAACTTAGATAGTATTTTATTATATTCATATAAACCGTTATGATCATCTAAAATGTCTCTTGACAAGCAATTACTTAAATTCTTTACCACTAACTAACTTTCTTAAGGCAAGTATCACATCGACAACAAGGAAAGGAAGTATCGTTCATTGCAATAATAAGTGAATAGGCCTAAACATCTGCAGAAACACATGCAACCCGTCCACATGAACTGAATTTGCCAACATGTGGCTGTACGAAAACTAAAATTAGTCCATTTCGACAGGAACACTTAAACATGTACACATATATGTGAAAAACTATAAATCACTTAGTGATTACATGAACCAGAACATAATTAGAATAAACATAAAGAAATTACTAACCAAATCATTCTCCTTTACCTTTATTTGCTTGGACGTAGTTGGTAAACTGAAATCGTGTAACTTTGTGTCACGTTAAGGATATTTACTCATCTAGACATATTTAAATTGTTTGGACAATCAAGGACTGTGTATGTGCTTTTGACGAACAAACTTAATCTGACTCCTTTTTAATCTCTATTTATTCTGATATTCTTTATTTACTCCAAGGATTATTATACAATTTAAAACCATAAATACAGCCTTTATGTGGTAGAACATTAATTTTCTCTGTTTATAATAATATTCTAAAATAATAGTCATATATTTTGGGAAACCAGAAAACTCGTAATTATAGTTTTGGCTAATTATTTTATTTATTTTCAAAGTCTAAAAGTTTAATGAAAATGTGTTGGCATCAAGTGATAAAACATGACAAGTTAATAGCTATTTACATTACAAGTGTAGTAAGAGCGTTTTTACATCACGCAGGTGAATGTTGTGCAACGAGCGGAAGCGAGTTGCATAATTCACCGAAGTGATGTAAACACGCTCTTGCGTAACGTGTAACGTACAAGATTTTACCTGACCCGACATTATTCAGGAGGTTACGAGCAATATGCATTATCAATTTCACTCATCTTCTGACAGTAACGTTCATTTACAAACAAAAGCTATGTTAGGAAAATTCTTCAAAGCATAACAATAACATTCAAACACACTGCTGATTTCTAGCATTGAACTTCGTTGGCTCCATAGAGGTATATTTTTTAAGTTATCCACTCAATGTTATTTAAATGGGTTTCATTACATCACCGAGTGAGTTTTTTTCAACTTTACATCACTCGAGAAGTAAGGAAGTTGTATACATCACGCTTGGGATAGGGAAGTTTAACATGGCGGGTTAGGTAAACATAATTATAGGGCTGTAATAAGTAAAAAAAACCACAATCTTTATAAAAAAAAAGAAAAATTAAAAAGGATATACAAAAATCAACTAAACATGTAATAATCACTTGACATGTTGAGATTTTTTTTTCATTACTACCAATATTCAGAAAATTTCTAAAAAATGTGATGTCATGAATACAACAACTACAATAATTTTATCTTGTAGTTCAGTTCTACTAGCCTCTATGTTGTAAAGACAACGCTCTGCTGAATCCCTCCACACCATTGTAAGGAGTGCTGAGCCACGAGTGTTTGATGAGGTCCGAACCTTTCTCTGCTATCATGATGGTTGGAGCGTTGGTGTTGCCTCGTGTAATCTTCGGCATCACAGAGGCGTCGATGACTCTCAGTCTACTCACACCCTGTACCCGGAGTTGAGGGTCTACCACGGCCTCGGGGTGTCCCGGGGGTCCCATGCGGCACGTGCCCACAAAATGATAACCAGCGCTCGACATGTGTCTAAGAAAACATTCCCTGTATGGACGAGAATCATAAGGGAATTTTGAACAACTTCGAACAAATACTTCGTGATATCTGGCATTTACTGCTTTGAACGGTTCTGTGAACACCAAACCACGAAGGAAATCAATGGCTTTGCCTACAGTATCAACATCCCTAGGGTCCGAGTAATGGCCAAGAGTTATCTTTGGGAGTTGCAATGGATTTTTACTTTGAAGTTGGACAGAACCTCTACTTTCTGACCCGATGAGATTCGGTGTAACAAACAGAACGGGTGAGTGCTCATTAATAGATCTAAAACTCTCAACAATTTCTTCATTAAATCCGAGACCCCTTGCATACTGTATGATACCGGTTGAATTCCTGTTAAAGTGTAAAAAATAAACTTGAATATCTGGGTAGTCAAAACCTTTTCTCTCACTCTCCATAAACAAAACGAATGCACCCATCCCTCTTCCAGCTAAAGTACTGTTGAGCTTCAATAAGAAGTTAAACATGCTTTGTCTTTGGTCGACTTCTGGTAAAGATACGTCAAGTGATATCATTAGGCCGTGCGGAGCAGGATGATCTTCCAATCGTTTTCCTACAGGTAGATCGTGTATAACATTGATTCCATGCTCCCATAAATGTTCACTTGGACCTATCCCTGAAAGCATTAACAGCTGTGGACTGCTGATGGCTCCACTAGACAATATCACTTCCTTCTTAGCTATAACTCTAACTAAGTAGCCATTGCTGTCAATCAGCTCAACGCCATATGCCACCTTCGTGTGTTCGTCTATTAATATTTTTGTTGCTTGCTTAAACTTAGATACTTTCAAGTTTGGTCTATCTTTTATCGGTGTTAAAAAGGCTTTCGCTGTGCTACAACGTCTACCATCTTCCAAAGTGAATGTTGCTCTACAGAACCCTGACTGATGTCTACCGTTATGATCAGGGTTTATGAAGTATCCAAGTTCAGATAAACCTCCCGCCAATATGGCAGGTATTGGTTCTGTATTGTCAATGTTAAAGTCATTAACCTTTAAAGGGCCACCAACTGAATGGTAGTTGAAGAAATCAGGGCTGCACTCAACTCCTGGAGATCTCATATCCTCAGACTTTTTAAAATAGGGTAAAACGTCTTTATAACTCCAACCAACATTTCCTTGAGCCTCCCAACCATCATAGTCCTTATAGTTTCCCCTTACGTACATTAGTCCGTTATGTGAACTGGAACCACCCAGCATCTTACCCATCCTACAGCTGCATTGGCTACCAGTAAATCCTAAACAGATTGGTTCTTCAGAGTTAGATCGATAATTCCATTCATATTCCGTATTTAATTTAGTTAATAAATTGGGCACTTCAGATGTCTTGGGAGGATCTC